AGTAAAGTCACGCAGAAATCGATGCAAGTTTGCTAGTTTGAATGAAAAGTTCGGTTACACGCAGAACGTCTGACTCCTAAGAGTCTGACTCGTTCAGTGTAGTCGGGTGGAAAAAGGTGCAAAGAATGGGGACTGCACGCCGCGCTGTCAATTGTCTGGAATTAACCGAATGCTGTTCGTGGCCATTTTCAGACACCCAGCCCCCAGTAGCGCTGGCGATTTGTCCATCAACCAGACGCCGATGCAAATGGATAAACTGACCCACTTGAAGCTCTCGGTAATGAATCACTCGACCCAATTTCTGGTCACCAATATCGATCCACTTCCACCTCGACCAATCTTCTGACCTCAGTGTAAAGCCAAAACATGTTGTAAGTCACCAAACTTCTATACAGGGATTTCATTACCACTCAAAACGGAACGTTCTCTTAAATTTCTCATTGTCGGAGCACTCGTTTCAATCTCGGAAACGGCACCCCTACTTCTGCCATTTACACATGTTTTTGTGGCGTTCTTGATGATTGAGACGATGGATTTTTTACAAAGCAGTTTGTCATGTGATTGTGTGTGGTTTTCAAGGGTAGATAAAGCAAACATGTGGACAACGTCGCGGCAAGCTATGACGCAATGCACTCGGAAAGGGTGCCCACTACTCTGTACTGCACCAATAGACCGCTTTGTGTGCCTTGGGTCTGCGAATGGGTACAAAACTTGTGAGTGGGGTTCAATGAGCTAAGTGCCAGCGATGAGTGTGAGATCGGAAGAGACCACGTCGCCGAAACGCTCTCAAAAGCCTACCGCTAACTCAGAACCATCAACTTGATCTGACTTCACAAAGGCATATCAGAACAGGACCGTGCATTCGTTTACACTTCCTGAAAGCAGATGTAGGCTCCAGAAATCAAAGCTCTGTGATTTTTGCCCGAGTTAGCGTAACACTGGCTGCCTATTGCCTGCGATTGCGTTCTCTTAGTGGTACAATTGAAGCATATAAACAAGAAAACACATCGAGACTGCTGTACCAATGGATTGCCTTCAGCACGTTTAAAGCCTTTCCGACGGCATCTAGTCACAGCGTTATTTTTTTGACAGAACAGAAGCCGGGAGTTTGGGTATAAGTTTTTTGAGCGGTGGACGATATGATACAAGATTAGCTAACAGTGAAATAATTTATTACTGATAAACCCTGTGACAATGGCTCCCTAACGAATCGACTTGATTTAAACAAGAAAAATAGACCAGCCTGGAGGATAAATATGCCTCCCTTTTAATTACCGGACATGTTGAAACGGACTTGGAAATTCCTAGCAAGACTAGCTTACAACCGTAGGAACCGCTGACGTTAAATTGTTTCTAAATTTATGCCCTGGTGAAAGTGAACACAATTTGACGGATTGACGCGGCTGAAGAGAACGCGGTTGTTGGGGTAACGATCATGACCGACTGGTGAAATTTGATTGGTCCTCGAGAGCTGCTTCGTTTGCCGAGCATGCAGCTGGCCGCCCAAAATCATCCTACTGCCGGGTTAAGTAAAAATACTGGCAGAATTTTTGAATCTGCGTTTATTATCATTCTTGTTTGCATTTATTTTGGACTTACTTTTGCGCCTCAAATCCTTTTCCGAATAAGTTATGTTTCACCTTGGAATGCACTGGATTGCTTTGTCATCACATATTGTTTTGTTGTGAATCGTGTTTATTCAACTCCTTAATCCGATCGATTCGCCTCCGATACAAGGCTCCCCTTCTCCCAGCATGGCGACAGCCACGCAAATCCTCAACTCCCCCCTTCATTCACACGTATATGTATCTTGGATTAACCTCACACCTAGATCTCGATGTTAGCACAGTTATGACTCACACACCCGGACTATAAATACACACGCACAAACCCACCAAAAACACAACTTCGTCAAGACCTCGGATAAGCGGTTGACTCTCTGTCCTTCCACCGACTTCGTCTTTGCTGGGTAACTCGTGATATTAGGCATCCCCAACAGTTTAAACTAGGCTGTTATGGCTGGATTCCGACCATGTAAACTAGCTATTATACTACTTATAGTGCCTATCCCTGATAGTAGTTTGGGGTAATTTTGAAGAATGGAGGGTGTTTTAGAGCTATATTAGCATACGAAAATAAGCCGTTAAGAGCACACGAGATCGTCAATGAAATGTGTGCGTTACCACGACTAAGGAACCAAAGGTCGCAGTTAAAATTTGCTGGCAATACGATCAGAGTAATTCGTCGTTTTTCTAACTACGTATGAATAGGTTTCTTTTATTGCGTGAAATAGTTCTGGTTTTTTACCATCCTTTTCGTCACAGGCAATAAATATATGAAATAAATAAATAAACATATGAAACACTCTTGGCTTAGAAGCAGTCCTGTTAACGTTTATGAAGATCTATTTCCCAATATCAGAAAGGTCGAAAATTTCATCTCATATCGTAATTTGTCTAATATTTCTTAAAAAAAGTTAGGGCCACTTGTGTTGAGGCGAAAATCCCTTGATAAAATCGAGCCATCTTGTTTTGCAGCGTCTATGTAAATAAACTAAATGAGTAGACAGTATTCCATGAGCTGAATCTACAATATGTAAGCACTTCTCCAGGCTCCGTAAACTACATAAAGGATTAAACGACCAGAAAATGTTAATGCAATTATTATCGATCACATTCGATCGATCACGTAAATTGATATTTAGCTTCTGGATGCCAGGCAAAAGAGCTCGTTTCTCGTTCTCAGAATGATGGTAAGAAGCACGATATTTAAATGTAAATTTGACGCATGGGAACCACGAGGTTCGGAATAGTTGTTCCAGGCTTTGATGTAACAAATTATGTCATTCCTTGAGACTGAAGTATGATGTAAATTTTCTATACATAGCATTCACTATTGATCTGTTTTTGCGCACACAAATTACCATGATTTTAAGTTAGTTTTTGATGGATGAGTTTCAGCAGTAATCTTGTCACCTAATTTAGAGTTAATAACTATTGAATGAGTAAATAAATACAGAAATAGCTAAAGTTTTAAACGCCTTACCCTCTAATTGTGGTATGCATTTTGACATCGAAACAAAACATGTCACTATGCGACAACTTCGCCATGAATTGCTAAAGAGGCTTTCGCTCACAACACACATTTCTGTTCGTTTGGTTGTAGCATCCTTGTAGACCTCCTATTTAATCGAGTGTGTTTTTCATCAAAGGAGGGAGCGCGACTGAAGATAGAGTTTCCCGTTAAACCTTTCAGATAACATAATTTTTGAAACATTTTTTAGATCCCATAATGTAGTTAGTAACACATTTTGGATCGATACACGAATTGTTTCCGTAAATTTATGGAGAACATGTGATCTGATAAAATGCAGATTTTGAGCATGGTGTTCAATTCGAATGGATTCACATTCTGTCTCACCGTCCTGTTTCTGTAGTCCTGAATACAACTACAATTCCTTCTTTTTAAACATCACGAAATACCCCGTACGTCCACGCAAACATTAGAGTGTTAATTGAGCCATTCGTGGAAATTGAGGTTTGAATTCAAAATACCTCACTAGAAGGAACGGTGTGGTCATGGCTCTCCGGAAGGAGATTCACGGTAATGCAAATCGATTAAACCACACGAAACGAAAATCGATGATTGAACTCAAGCGCTTGTGAACGGCACGAGAACGTCACGTGCTTCATTTTAAGGTATAAAAACGTTTAGTGCAGTGGCACCTGTAATGTGTACACATCCTTACTCCACCCTAGTTAACAGGCGCCAAACATTACATTTACATGTAACTTAGGTGTGCCACGTTTGCCAAGTCATGGTGTCACCTCTACCCACATTATCAACTGATGAGAGATTTAGCTAAGACGAGCCTATTTGATACCACCCATTTGTAGGGTTTTGTACTATCAAATCTTTAAGATGTGAATGTCATTTAAGCGCATATTGTAGCCTTCTTGAAAATATGACATTCAATAAAGCCGTTATTCATACACTGTTGGGTGTCTCCCGGAACGCACTTTACGGTGTCAGACCCTGTGCATAATGCGTCTCAATTGCAAATTCTGTCACGGCACACGCAAGTCTTTAGACACCTTTCAGTTTAGCACGATGCTTATGATTAATGCAAGGGTCCTGCTGAAATGCCCACTTTCTCGATTATAAAAGTAACCTGATAATAGTCAAGCAAAAATTTGCTATTTGGTTATCAGTTATTTTAATGACTAGACAAGACTCCTCATAAAATTGGCATCAGTGGGCACATTTTGATTAAAGTGACTTGGGTATTATATGCAGCAATTCAGTGTTCCACAGTTCCAGAGAATGCAAACCACTTTTAGTTATTGGCAGATGTCCTACGACAGACAAACCGTGGTGTTGGTTATGTCAAAGGCTTTGCAGGAGAATTTTGGCACGTTGAAGGCTTCACAGAATACGAGAGGACTTGAGCTAGTGCGAAGGGCCATACTGTCTGAACCAGAGGTTCGAGCACATGTCGATGTCGAATGCTTACATGTGCCCACTTATATGCATGATGATTGACGAGTTGGTGGTTTGGATGAATATGTGGTGTGACTGTAGATGTAATTGTGAGAACAAACTCGAGTGGTAGACGTCACAGATCACATCGTTAACTTAGTTGTCACGGGGAATGTTAACAATCGCAGTAATTAGAAAACCGAAGTATCTGCTGCTCTCCCTAATTCTTAAATTCGATGGTCAGTGGAATTTGGGTTCTAGCATGATGATTTCAAAAGAATGCTGGTCCATGGCTAAAGTCAAGCTACGAATTCAGTACGATGTTTCGCCATTTTTACACGGACGCTAGTGGGCTGTTTGTGTCGGGTGTTGTGAAGTACATTCACTACCTTGTGTGCCCAGACCGGTGGTAATAATAACAAGCATGCCATTAAGTTATTGCCAATTTTTGTTTTCAAAGAAGTGCTGTCGAACATTTTCTCACAAGACGACTAAACTAATTTGCGAACGCTACACCACAAATGGTTGATGTTTTCGCTTCGCACGGGCTACAACGGATTGTAGTCGGAGTTGGATTGTTCGACCGTGAGTGTACTTGTGGCTGAGTTGCAAGCGATTGGTCACATGCTCCACTGTGATTCGTCCAGCCACTTTGTTGACCACACATATTCCAGTCTGTGTGGTGTGTAGCTGTGGACGTGGATGAACGTCCACTGGCATCTCAGGTTATGTTGAAACCTCAGTGTCGTTCATGCCACCGCCTCCTCAAATCATCTGGTATTCTTCTAGCAGGCATAAAACTCTACCCACATCGAGAAGAAAGGCCCTAATTAGACGTTGACACCGAAAAGCGCATCGTGAGGAAAGCAAGAAGGCATGACTGCAGCCCACTTCACACCTCATTCACCTCTGCCTGCCAATTGACGCACCACACTCGCACCTGCACACTAGTGGCCTTGAACCGAGGCTCAAGCAAGCAAGCCAGCCTGGAGAGCGGTGCTGTAGACTCGGGCTATTTTTCGCTGCCATGCGTGTTATTCTGTGCAGGCTATGGGGTGTGTTCCCCCCACCTCCTCCTCCTCCTCCTACACGTTGACTGCCCTGTGCAGTTGTTATTGAGACAATAAAATGAGAATGAAAGTGGTGGTTTGGGTGAAAGTGAGATGCAGGCATTGTTAGTGTGGCAATTTCATGTGAGCAAGAAGCAGGTTTAAAGGGCAATATATAGCCTTCGAAAGAAGTGGAATAGTTAATCCATGAAGGCAGACGTGGATTGCACTAAGACCTAATTACACACCTCCCACAAGCCAGTCAGCTTGGATTGCTTTAGCACCCTTGGAAGATGTGATTACAAAATTAGTAAAGTAAATGTCACTAGGTTTTCTAATGCATTCATTACTGCCTACACAAAGTTGACTGAGGTGTTTTTTAAAGGAGTTTCTCGTGTGTACTATCTAAGGTGTAGGACCGAAGCACAAGCGAGGCGTTGATGCTATGTGCACTGCTTGTTGTGTGTCGGCATATTGTAGAAGCACAGAACAGATTCCCATGACAGGTCTGCTAAGTTTAATCTACTGTTCGCCTTTTTGCATGCTAAGATTGTGGATTAACTCCTTAGTTCATGCCATGTATTATCCTTTTACTAATACCGTAAACGATTTCTTGTTGCTATGTTATGAATGTCGCAATCAATCTCTGATGCCTGAAACGAACGACAGATCATGTCCGAACTATCAAATCACACCTTATTGGTCGGAGGTGATGAATCGAGGAGCGCTTTAGGGTTGTCTGATAATTTGTTTTAATCAAAAGGCACAAAAAATGCAATTGCAGATCTGCACTTTGAAATTTTCCCTGTGAAGCAGTCTAAAAATGTGCTGAGAGTGCCAAAGTGTGTAGGTCCGAAGCATCTTAGTAGTTCCAACGTACTTCTCGTGTTCTTCACTCAAGCATATTGTGAGAAGACGAGAAAGCGCGATGGCAGTTTGAACTACTATCAAAAAGCGTCTAAGTAGCCACTTTTTCTTAACGAGTTTCGATCAGCCCAAGACCCATAATGCCAGAAATTCTTCTTCTACACAAGTAAGTCTTCACAGTAATACTATTCGGATTTTTCGAGTACACCACTGGTTCCTCTCCTGGCCAAACTTGGCACAGTAGAGCTTGGAGCTGGCTGAAAGATTGGTTATTCTCTCGTTCACTAAAACAGGTTACGAGGCTTGCAATATTTCATCTTTCATAGTAGTTGGAATACCTGCCTCTGCAAATTACCTGGTGTTGGCTGCCTTACCGCATTCCCTTCTACACCTCCCCTTGCTGCTCTTGTTTCGTAATGATTTTGGGGCAGAATTAACTGAGGTTTCATAAAATCGTCAACACAATAACCGTGGAGCCATTTGCTTTGAGAAACACAATTCCGCAGCCTAAGATATATTTTCTACGGGATCGTTTGCATCGAAACACACTTTATCCATAGTGAATTGAAGCATTAAGGAATCAGAGAGATTTCTGATACAGCAACTTTTGTCCTTGGTACGAATTAATGCAATTAATGCTCCTTTGTTATTTAACCCGTTTTCAGGATCCAGCCCGGGAAAAGCTGGAGGCATCTGTCAAAACGGCCTGGGCAAGCGTAGCTTTGTGGAAGCACAGGTACCTGAAAGAAAGGAGACTGCGGGAAGCAGCGGCAAAGATGGTGGATTCTCAGAAGTGGGCGGTACGAGAAACCCTGGTATTGGTTCTGTCTGTCTGACGCAAATTGTCGGGTAGTTCGTTCGGCGCACAAATTCATACGCTCTTAGACCATTTTCACGTCCAGGTCTAAAATACCTCAATTGATGTCTGTAAGCAAATTCAATAGCGACAATTGATTTCTCTTACGTTGAACAGCACCGATTTTGGGGTGTGTATTATGGACAGATCTGTACCAATCAGGGGAAAGAGGACACTTGGGAATTAGAATTTCTTAATTCCGTCTGCAGCTTGAATTCATTGCCTGACTAATCGTGCAATAAGCAACCCTATCCAGCTACTGCGATAACGTTGGATTTTGAGAAATTGGCATAAACATCTGGGATGTCTAACCCCGGTTTCTCCCGTACACTTGGGGTGTGCGAGTGTGGCGCCCTACAGATCCGGGGCCTGTTCTCATGGTCGGGCCCTCTACCTCCGCACAATAACGGATGTCTTTTTGCAAAATGTGTCACTTTACTTTCACAAACAGGACATAATGGGCTGACAATAAATGGTGTTATCCGCATCTCCAAAGTCGCTCTGTTGCAACACCTTTCATTCGCCTTCTACAAGTGTTGCACAAATTAAGTGGATATTGTTCCCGTATTATGATATTGTCAATCAACTTAGAAGATTATGAGGGAATTAAAACAGCAAAGCGACATAAAAATGAGGGCATGAATGTTTTCACGTTTGCATCTGATTACAATGGTCGCCTAGCAACTGGTTATTGACGACGTTATCTTCAGCTTTAAGTCGGCATTTCTTTTGAAGCACGCATCGTGTCAACCTTCGATTTTATTGGTTCATTAAGTTAAACTTAACATTTTGTCGTAGGGAGGACTTTAATATTGCAAACTTCAAATAAGTAGATAATTCGCACCAAGTTGGACCGCACGATAAAACACTGATATGACACTTGTATTTCAGATGAATTCAAAAAATGTGACGGTAGGTAGCAGGCTTAAGACCTGTTGTCAACTATTTCCTTTCAACAGCCTGTTTTTAATGGCTGGTCTGCGATTAAATGATGTTGATTTATCCCATCTACGTTTGACTTACAAAGCTTAGGATTACCAAAAACGTCTCGTTGGCCCATGGTCATGTCTCTAATTAATAATAAATGTGGATTTTAAGAACACAGCCTGTCTTCCATTAACGACACATGTGATAGCAGTTATCATCTTTTGTGTACCAGCAACCATCACTGCGTGACGTAGGCGACTACATCAAGCTCAAGAAATTTTACGCTGCCGCTCTGGAGGCCTGTTCCATCAAGGACGAAGAAGCGCGCCAACTACGCCAGAAGATGTCCGCTCTGATTGGTGAGGTCGAAGGAATAACGAGGCTTGTGGCTACTGGCGCACGAGCACACGCCAACACAAAGGTTGTGCAGCTTCTCGAGCACCAAGAGGACTTGGAGATGGTAATTAGGGTGGATTAAGGTTTCATGCTCTAGTGGCACCAACCACGTCCCGCCAAACCATCCAACAATGACCCACAAAAACCTTTCTGACGCCAATGAAAAAGTCTACGATAAGTTTACACAATGCCTAGGACCCAGATAGACACCACAGAGACCAAAGTGTACGTCGATAAATGCAACATCATAGCACCAGGTCACTCACTCATGATTGATTCTCAAGAACACCACCAAATAGATGATTATATCAATTTTAAAGTTTAACAAGTTCGATTTAATTGCAAGATTCAAGTGGCCGTTTAGACACTTGCAGTAATTGCCTGCCCACTGTATTGTTTACATTGGTGGGTTGCATGCGGCATAGCTTATGCTAGTCAAGGAATATTATTGGCTGATCATGGTTGCCTACCGGCATTTTTTTAATGGCTACACTGCTAGATTAGTAAATAATCTTATCTCATAATGGTGTGGCTAATCCAAGCAACCGGCCATTGCACAATAGGATTTCTGATTCAATGAGGATATTTTGAATTATTTTTAAGGTATAAATGTAGTTCGTATTAAATTTGCTGAGCGGTGGGTAAAATGAAAAAAAAAACAGGAAAAAGATTTACAGCGTAAGGACTCCAATGACTAAATAGAACAGCTGCAGTGGAAATCCTGGAAAACGTAGTCATCCTATTTACAAAAATAAATATGACCCATCGGCACTAACTGCATTACGCACTGTTTTGGGAGAAGAGATCATCGTTCTTTTCCTGTAGGAGAAATCTGTTTTACAAATGAGGACTCAGAGGCTTGTGAATGAACTGGAGAACCTGCGTCCACTTTGTAAGGAATACGCGGCCAAAGCCTGCAGCCAAACCCTCACCAACAACCCTCGTAGTCAGTATGAAGAAGCCGTGGGGAAGCTTCGTCTGAAGTTGGAGTTACAACACGTAGCTTCTGAAGTTGATAAAATGAGACAGGAGTTGACTCTAAGAGACATGGAGGTAAGCATTACCAACGCATTCCGTTCAAGGAGACATTCCGCCAACAACGAAAAGGTTAAATTATGTATTGTTCGGTGATTAAATAACTTGGCGCCAGGCAAAATGGCAACCATACAATCGAAGCTTGGCCATCGTTGCAATTGGGCAGTTAAGTCAATTTCATATGGGCTAATGATTGATGAAAGAAGGCTAGATTCGTTGGATTTGTTAGAAAGGGTCGCTCACTTGGTCTCAAACTGATAACTAAATGGTCAGATTTCCCGAACATTGAAAACGTTTTTATTCCGAGTTACGATTTGATCAGTAATCCGGTGAGTGATTTTTGTGCATTCGATGTAGTAAAACATGCAAAATTCTTACCTGCTCTTTACAAGACGTCGATTCATACGCAGCACGTCGCTAACATAGCCAGGGTGATTATAATCTTCACGGTTAACTACATCATCTGGCAAAGCCTATCATTTGTACTTTGTATTTTCCTGCTCATTTTGGTTTCTTTACTTAAGGAATATGAAATCCCTGCTGTTTGTTGTTATTTGCCGTTCAGTGAACATTTTGCCTAAGTTGTGTTTTAAATGGTTTACGCATCTTTTGTAAAAATCCAAATATCCAGTCACGCTAGATCCACAAATTAAACACCGGCCGTGAATAGCCTAAACTGACAGATTAGTATAGCTTGGCGGCAAATCCAAAAATCAACATTATCTTCGATACAAATTCGTGGGTGATTACGCAGCTACGGATTTTTTCTCTGCACCTGTATACCATGATATGATGTGACCTGGATTTGGAAGTACAGAATAACTTTGCTTTGTTCAGCGAAGCAAATTTCGCACCTTGCAAATTATTTAAATCGCTATCTTGGTGTTTCGTGATTTCTGTTGTATGCTTCTCTGAGAGAACATATTAAAATCCCATTTGGCGAGCATTTGTTGGTAATTGGAAATGACGTAAGCATAAAATAAACTGACTCCGTAACTCTTACGTGTGTGTGCATATATGCAGAACACAATCCCCTTATCATAATTAATTGCATTCTGAATATTGCATTCACCTTTATGATTTGTTAGGAGCTAGATTAATCCGAAAAATGCGAATCCTCATGGGGTTCCTAGATGTAGGTGTGATTGAATGCGAATTTCTCGCCAGAGTACGAGTTCAAGCTTTTACAAAAGTCAGATTTTGAGTTGAATAAACGGGCTTAACTGCAAAAGTTTAAACATTTGTTGTTCAAGACTTATGTCACTAGCTTATTGCACGAAACCGCTGCACAAGTTCACTGTCCCTTAGTCAAAATCAACTCCTAACAACACCAGAAAGAACTGCCATCTAAGGCCAACAACTTTGACTGCACCCTGATTCAAATCAGGCATAAATCTTTAAAACTAGACATGGGAACGTGTATTAAACTGCATCATTGCTATATCTTGTGGCTGAAAGGTGAAGGAGATCGATTTGTAAAGCTTGCTTCGGTTTCATAAGAATTCGTCTGGCCATATTGTCGAATTCGGAAACGCTACTGATGGCGTGGTTAATGGAATGAAGGGGTCGCCAACACATGGATGGCGAGGAGAAAGGTGGTTAACTCATCCAACTAAATGTCCCCCAAACGAAGATGTCTTGAGTTTTCGCGTGGATGGTGTCTCTGTAATATGATAATGCGAGCATCCCCGTTAGCGTATACTAGCCATTTCGAAGAACCGCTAAGCTAGGATCAACTAATCGAACTTTGGATCAATTCTGATAAGGCCGGCGAACAATACTGACGGGTCATTTGAGTTAGCCTCGTCGAAACACCGCCAACCGAAAGTAAAGATACTTGAAAAATCCCATGTCTATTCGCTTGGTCCCGAGGTACATACTGCCAAATCCATCCGCTGAGCCAAGAAAAGTTGACCGAAGCCTTTCTACCCGTTCCTGGCAGTTATATTGTAGTTTTGAGACTTTTCCTACCACTTAGAGGTATTGCTTTTTTAAAGATCAGTCGGTTTCCTCTACTAGTAACTGTCCGATTGACATGGATTGCACGAATTGACTTCTGATAACCAAATTTTGAAAATTTTCACTGATTACTTGATAGATTAACTCGTATAAGGAGAGGATGGCACAACTCCGCGAGCACAGTCTACAGCAGGAGCAGCTCCTGACGGCCAGAACCACCGAACTGGAGTGCTGCAAGTCGAGAGAGCTGGAGCTGCGCAGGTCCTTTGCTCAGAGGCTTCAGTCGCTTGAAATGACTCTCAACGCCAGTCAGTGTGCTTTCGCTAGTCGTGAAAAGGAGCTGCTACGACAACTCGCTGCAGCAGAAAAGCGTGGACAGTGCTTGGCAGCAAACACGAAATAATACTGGTTCTGCATTCGTCCTCTTCTAGTCGTTTTGATTACTTATTAGGAGATTGAAAGTGTGGACAGGTGCACTTTGAGGCCATGCGCTGGCACAAGCCTGAGGCGTACCACGGGAAATGAGCCGCGCAAAAGTTCAAGGTAGACTCAACTGTAGAACAATCGCGCCGAATTTCTGAGCCCATCACTAAGTAATTTTGACTTATTGTGGGTAAACAGGCGTCACAGACAAGAGGCGCCAGTTCCGCGGGCTCGTTGGTTCATTACGCAGCTTCCATTGGCCAATGTGTATAACTGCACGCCCAATGTAACGCCTACTTTCCCGTTGAGGCTCTTTTGAGAGCTCTTAACGTGGCTAACCAGCTTTGATTTCTCTTACATCAATTATCATACATAGTTTGAAATAGCACACCTGGAGAAATGCGGCCGTCTCAAGAATAACCCAAGTTTCTTAGGCCAGTTATCCACGCCTAGCAAGCAAATGGGCTAGTTAAAAAAATTTGCACAAAATTAAATCTGTACTTAAGCGCTCCCTAATCCGCCGATATTGTCGTGCCCGGTTTATGTCGGTACCAACTAGACTGCAGCTTGAACTGCCATTTTCTTTCTTCATTGAATAAAATAACCGAGCTCTGAGTCGGCATTTATTTGGCTAAGACGGAGCCCCCATCTGAATAAGACACAAACCAAAGGCTTAGTGTGAGGCACTCCTTCCGAGCTTCTAGCTACACGTCCAGTCCATCAGCACCACTGGATACCCCTGGACCCATACACCAGAATTCCGATAAGTTTTTCCAGGATCGAACACTAAGCGTGATATCGGAAAAGCATGACATGACGAATGCTTGTTGCCACACTCACAAATGTCCATTTAAGGAAACATTATCACCTCCAAATGCTGGGTTTAATCTCAACTTATTACACCCCACGACGGATGACGATGGGGTCTCACTGCACAATGATGCTTCATACGCGATAGGTGTGTTGGGACGTTGAATGAATACGGTGAAAACCAGTGCGAATTGTCGGGGTTTTCTCTCAGTTTCGCCCAGCCGAGACATCCGGGCATAAAACAACAAAAATCTGGCAACGTGTTACCAGCAGTTCCCCAAGCCCCGGCGTGCGACAACCGCATTGAAGTTCTACACCTTTCCACACTAAAAGCCGAGTAATTCCGTAAATACATTCTATTTATGGAAATAAAATACTGTATACAGTAAAAATCTGGTAGGAGGGAGTGGTAGGCATAGGAAAGACTTAGGATTTTGACAAATTTACGCTTGGAAATCAAACAGACCCTTATCGTAGGTTACGATTCCCCTGGTGCTTCAGTGCTGTCCTGTACAGGCTGAGAATTCGCATCGCAAACTTACCAAAAACGTCGGCTGTCAAACGTCTTCTTTCAAGGAGGCTGCAACAAATTAACAAAAATGCATAGGCGGTGTGAGAAGAATGAAAGATCAAGAGTGTGTGTGTGTAGGAGCCTGAGTGGTCAGTCATGCTTGACACCCTAGAGAACGCGTGAGCGACGGCAAGCCCACTGGAATGGAATGGGAGACTACGGTTCAGGAATCCCTAGACGCTTCCTAAGGAACAACAGGCAGTAAAGGCCAAATTACCATATGCGAATAAGGGTTTAACAATAGTTTTAAAACGCCTCACTGCAGCACTGTACGGAGTCCGTAAATTGGGTGGATGGGTCAAGCAATCGCAGGAATTTAGCGGGAAGGCACTAATAACTTCAAATGTGATCCATTTCCGATCAATATTCTAATTCCGTTAATGGCAGAAGTTTTGTGGCTGTGAACAAGGATGCAGATGTGCACATTCACAGTTTCTTAATAATCTCCTCCAGTGCTAGGCAAAGCTTCATAAACAACAGCTGATTGAGGCACTATGCCACAATGCACTTTCATCCTTTTATATCAGGGTCCTGGCTCGAAATCCCGTATACCAAAGGCACGTATTTTGCCACAGAATTTTCACACAAAACAGTGTCTCGACATCTGTCGAATGAAGATGTGGATGAGCGGTAGCAGTTGGAATTGACCTGGAGGGGTTGCAGACTAACGCAGCAGGATCCACCACAGGAGACGACCAGTTCGACAGTGGCAATTTCTGCACTGCCATGAACCCGGCCCAGGCGCATTAACTGCCGATGGCACGCAAAACCCTTGTGCTAATGCAGAATGAAAGTGCATTGCACGGAGTCATTAGTAAAAATCTGCATCGATCAGACAATTCTCGTGCACATACAAGTGCGACACAACATAGGAACCTCCACAAATGAGTCCTGTGACGATGAATTCATCCGCAAAGCGTACATTTAAATCATTGGGATGACTAAGATGCCAGCACAACAGGATGATTCGTAACCTTAACTAGAGGTTCAGCATACACGTTCGTAAGGGGACAATTCCAGTCAGTAACAACTGTCGAGTAGCGAAAAGCGCAATTCAAAACCAAACTTACATTTCGTCCTCAATAACAACTTCTGCTTTCTTTTCCCTATAGACAGATGAGACCAAGCAACAAGAGGAGCACGGAATACGTTGCAACGGCTTAAAATAAATTAGTGCAAAAGATGAAAATAACTCAAAAAAACGTACGTGGATTGTCGCTAAGCTTGGTTCCACCAGGAAGCTAAGTCTTTACAAGCTAGAGCTTCTGCTGCCACATCGGGAAAAAAGCCCTTGTTGGTAGATTCGAAGATTTCATCAACCACCGTTTCCATGCCAAATGCCGAGGTCACGGCTCGTTTACGCAGCGAGGCTCGATGCACCTCGTCGAATCCTCCGTCCCTCACAACAAGCGCGTAATGCCGCCAGAGCGCACAGCTTAATGGAAGCAGTTTGACGGCATCCGAGAAACAGTCTGCGAGGTAGATTCGCAGTGTGCGACCGTTATCAAGCTGAGGTGGGTGGAACTTAAAACCCAAGGAGGCGATCATCACCCAAAACTCCTCGTCAGCGGGTTGTTCGAGGCGCGCGACGGAACACAGGCTTTGCAGCCACCGCAGAACATTTGGGTTTGGGCTTCGTAACAATCCACTGGCCAAAAGAGCTTTCAGCGTCCGAAAACCGTAGGTCTCCAACAGACGAGCAAATAAAGGATTGGGCGGATAGCTGTCAGAAAACTTATCCACTTGAATGTACTGCAGGAGTTCGAAGAACCATGGAGGTGGGCTTGTGCAGAAGTTTGAATCATCCGTGAAAGCCTTCGGGAAGAGGATAGCCTCCAAAGCCATTGAGTACTCCTCCGCGGTTGGGAGCATATTAGCTAGAGCTAGACCCAGGTGTAAAAGAAGGGCGCCCAGAGGGCATGGGAAAGCTTCAGAGACAAAATCCTTCAAACTGCTGATTGCATGATTGATGAAATCGGGAAGGAGGGAGGAAGAAAAGTTGTGCAGCATACTGAAGAGGCCAAAACCCATCCACAGGTACACGGTATTCTTGGCGTCACATGAATGTTGGGATTCCTCTTGGTCGCCCAGACCCAAAAGGGTTCGGAAGGCAGAATACACAGAGGCTGCGTCCAAGGAGGGGAGCAGAACCAAGCCACCTACCAGCTCGGATAAAAGACTGCTACAGGGCTCTGGTTTGCCCGACTTCTGCATGAGACAGGCAAAGTAATAGGCAAATGTAGTCTGAATGGAATGCTGGTTTGTGAGGTCGGAAACGAGATCAAATGTTGAAGCTTCACCACGTTGAAGACACAGGTTGGATAAGTGGACGGCAGTGGGGAAAAAGATATTGTCTTGAGCCAGCAACTCGTTACAGCACACTAGTGCGTCGAGGCAGAAAAGAGCACCACGTTCAATGTTACCCTCAGCGGCGAGAAATTGCACGTACAGGTGGCTGAATGACAAAACAACGGAAATCTGTGACAGTGGAACGTTCCATCGATGACACTTTGATAAAAAGTCAGACAGGCCGTCGTTGCACAAATTAAGGTCGAGGGCCGCAGTCCGAAATAAGTCGCTGCGAAGAGCAAGCCGTTCTGGATCGAGGAAGGGGCAGTATTCAAAAGATTGCGGAAAGGTGGGTGAAATCTCCATAATCACTCGGAGGTACCAAAGCGCCCAACGGGCTGGATGACCGCGAGGCAAACACCTGGGGATATTGTCGCAATCAAACCTCAGAAGACTGTCGAGCAGGGACACACCAATAGGTGATGCGCAGGCCTCCCACTCTAACCGACAGGCATGGTAGGCAACACTTACGAAAGAATTCATACACGATACAGAGTCCGAGAATGACGACATTTGGGTGCGCGTCTGCGACAACAACACGGATAACGACTGTCGAATTAATTGCCTCCGTGCGGCTAAGGAGCCCAGCTGTCTGGAGTTGAGAGCGTAGGAAAGGAGATTGGGAGAAAAATTTGTTTTTTCTAAAAATTCCAAGGCTGCAGCAACTGGAGTGCTTGTGGAAACAAGAACCGCATGCAAATGATGTCTGAGCAGGGCTCCATCATGTTCATTTGATAGATCCTCGTGTGATTTGAGGAAAGGTGTCAAATCGTGGCGCGTCGCAAAAACTGTGTGCCAGTCGAACACAGAACGACAAACTTCCGGGGTCGTAGACTGGCTGGAGTCCAATTGGGCACCACAAACATTACAAAGGGACTCAGAATCTTTGGTGAACGTAGCTGAAGTCATACAAGTGGGGAGGGTTGCTCCCACGGAGCCGTTATTCCCATTAAGAGTACCAGGGTGTTGAAAGGTGCATGTCTTATCAACACAATTCCCATCTAAATAAAAAGGACAGATTGGGGTGTTCGGATCAAAATTCTGCTGCGATGGAAAGCTTGTTGAGGTGGTGTGCACCTCAGGGGATGCTGGTGTCATCTCCACCTCCTCGGGCATAGTTGCAGACAAGTCGAAGAGGTTAAAGTACTGAAACAAAGGGCTGGTTATTCGGAAAGCTGTTTCTAGCCCATCTAATACACGACTGAAGTAGCAAGTGAGTGCCAAAAGAGCTGGAGGAAGTTTGTTCTCGGGAGCCGGATGCTGTGACAATCGCGCCCGATGAGAGGAAACTTGATTAACAGTAGATTTTCTTGCAAGGCGGTCTACTACAGTAGTCATTGTTTTCAACTCTTGTTGAGCCTTATGCAATTCCCGCATCGCCACTTGTTTCGCTTTATTTGCCTTGGAAACGGCCTGCTTCGCCGATAAGTGGAGTTTTGTTGTTTGGCGCAATTTGGCTTTTAGCGATGCAAGCGACAAACTTAATGCTGCTTCTGTTTTCTTTCGATCAGCGACCACTTTTTGCTGTTTCTTCAGCACAACTTGTAAGTGTTCTACGCGCACTGATTGTTTTAAAAGCAACTTCTTGTAAGGACTCAAAGAAAATGAGGGAGTAACTCGAGCGGCATTTTTTTCAGACGTGCAGGTAGACATTGGGGCGAAAGACTTGGGCAAAATTGAGGATTTTGGAAGAGGAGGCTTCTTTGGAAAATTGGAGACAGATGTCACGGTGTTTTCGTTGCGGCGAACAGGAGCGGTGTCCGGTTGAACTTGGGGTCGCAGCGGCGAAGATCCATTAAGCGACGAGACTGTAAGTGGGGAAGCTTTGCTACGACGAGCTGCGAGAGTGACGCTTGGCAAATCTTCCCCCTCACTTGAGTCGCCGCTGGCACTGGAGGATGCATGCAAAGTGATAATGAAGCGTGGCCTTGAATGTGGCGGTGAAGAGAGGGAATCACCCGTAGCCGCTGTCAGGGACGGAGCAGAATTAGACGTCTGAAGTTTTACTTGACGTTTTGTGAACGAAAGAAGGGCTTTTTTCCTAAGCTTCAATTCCATTTGCGTCGGAACCTATAAACTCATTAGACACATAAAGTGTACATACGTCGGCGTTTTCTCGTTCACGTGAATCGACATTAATGCCTAAGCACCAGAAATTACATGAATCTTGGAGTTGTTACCTGTGCTTGAATGAAAGGAAGAAACTTAAGAGAAATATTAACGCTTCGTAATCGATGACGTACCTGCTGTGTTCACTACGCTAGAAGACTTAGTAAGACGCCTAGACAGACTCTGAAGTGCCATTTGACGCAAATAATTCTCATCAAATGACGTGTCAGCGAAGCTGGTGGTGAGAGAAGAGTTCAGTTTTGACATCAAAGGTCGTGACATGTTCTTCCCTGGCACCATCTAAAAATAATTCCTCTGGAGTTTCACTAGTTTGAATGAGAAATTAAGGAAGCGAAAATTTTGAAATCATTTAAAATAAAGCAAAAGCAAGTTATCGTTAGCAAAAAGACCCCCACCATTTATACAGATTCGCATTCCTGTTTAAACATATCGCGAAGCCAATTAGTGGCGTACTAGTAATTTGAGGAAAATAAAATGAGAGAGGTTACGCTATTATCGACAAAGATGGGAACAATTAAATTCGACCCGAGGGAATATTCCGACTAAAACACAAGTCCCGTGAAATTCTCTCTCAACATAACATCTCCATAGTAACCATAGGAGAAACTGTAGAAAACAGTAAAGAAAATCAGTCGGTCAACTAAAGCAATTGGTTGGCCTCTCAATCTTAAGGATTTACAAAGCAGAATATTATTTAATTACCTAGAAGCGCGTTACTTTTGTTAATGCTTAAGCGAACACAGAAAAAGGCAACAACCCTCACTTTAGTTACAACAACCACCACAAAACAAGTTTAGTTGATTTTTGGATAACGGACTAGTGTGCGCAAGACTATTTAGAAATTAGCATTCTTTTAACATCTACAAAAATAACTACAACATGAGAAAGTACCGAAAACCAGGTCGAAGTCAAAGGCTATCAGCAAATAATCACAATAAATCAGGCGTCATACAATCACCCAGACAGCAATAATACTGCAGATTTAGCCACATGAAGTATAAATTAACAGGAACATAAGAAATAGGTAATGAGGTTCGTGAGTTGCAAGTTGACACGAACACATTAACGGAGAACATCCGTGATAAACCAATTTTATGAAAGACCACCTCATAGTCGTGATAAAAGAACGAATGTTTGTTAGCACAGATACTAAAAGTGAGATATTTGATTCAACAAGACAAGCAGACCAAGCAAAAGTCAACGAATTTCAAAGAATTCACGTCACACGCACAGGTTGACCGAAGTAGGTTCCTGAATGATTTTAAAAAGTTAAACAATAGATATTTGTAATTTCCTATGCATTAAAAATTATATAAATCAATTATCAATTAGACGGATTTTTAAAAATCATTTTGTTAAGTTTAGCAAATACATGCAATTAGATCACCTTTAATTTTTTCAAATATTGGCTAAATTTCGTGACAACAAATAAATAAATTGGATCAAAATATATAATTTTTCACATTTTTCTACCATATTTATAATTTACAGTTTGTTAAAATAATTGTTTAACGAAATTATTTTTTGCCCACAAACTAATGATATCGTTAGGTTAAAAAATCTTTCTATATTTTACATAATCGTCAAACACTTTTGTCCTATCTTATATAGCCCCATCTTTAAAATTCGTACAACAGTAAGTTGTCACAGGATTATTGGGGTCCAATCGCTTAAAATATGAGATTCGTATCGCATTTTCTACGGACGGTAGGTTGGTTGATTTTCCTACTTAGTTAAAATTGGAACATTTTGAAATACCAATGTGTGTTCGCATCCTAGCAATTTCTGAAGGGTTAATTTTATGTCAACTAAAAGCAGCCAATGTCGTCATGTTGAAGAGGCAGGCTTGCTTTGTAACACCGTTGAGAAATATACGGAATTAATTCCTTCATTGATGTCAAAGGCACTGTACAATAAAACGGCACACATTTAGTAAAAGTTAAACAGCAAAATCTTTTTATAGTATTTTCATACTGTTCAGGTTTAAGTCGCGCTACATATGATTGTCTACACGTTTTGCAAAAAAAACAGTTGGATTTTGAATGGCAAAATTTTGAAACGAATATTTTCACTGTTCACTTTGAATAAGTGCTGATTTTTTAAAGAGAAGGCCTTTTTTCTGAAAGAATTTTTGTGTTTGTTATGAATGCACTTGTGTGTCCATGCAAACAAATTCCTACATCATTCTATCAACATCAATTACCCTTGTCTTTTACATCTCTGTCACTGATGCCCCTGGAACCCATTTCGTATAATTTTGCCGTTGTATTGATATTACAATCGCATATGAAAATCAATTAACGCAGCCACCTCCTCTATCATAGGCGGACATATTCACTGTGAACTCCATTTTTTTCTATCAATAAAATTTGTGACAGCACCAGGGTATCGAACAATGTATTGTCTAAAGTTTATTTCCACTTCTGCAGGATGCTAAAGAGATGCATACATATTTGTTCACGTTGGCGTGACCGTTACTGGGAATACTGAATGTGCAACAGTAAGTAGTCTTGAATAATTTTCCTATCAAGTCATTTTGTATGTTATTCACATGCCTCGGACATCGAAGCTCATTTATAATATTCGTTCAAAAATATTTAATGGTAAACAAGTAGTCGACGATTTTAGGTTTGAGTAAACGTGACTTTAAAGAATGAATCAACGGTGCTCATTTTCACCGTAGAATGTCTCGGTGAAATATTCCAAAAGACTTCACAAAGCATCATGATAGCCCCACTTTGGGCAACATGGCAATCGTAGAATACTTGCCGGGCCTGTAATGTGAAGTCACGTGGCAAGCCCCGACATACACACAATTGTATTTCTGAAAAAAAAATACAATAGCTTATGCCTAAATAATTCAGAATCATCCATATACTCCCTAAGCCTGACCCGGTGTACTACCCGAAATAATTTTTAGGCCATGGTTATCAGTTAGAGCGGTTATTTTAAATTCGAGTGATCTAATACAAATTTGATTAACAAATTTTTGCAGCAGGCTGCTTCTTATTTTTAAAAAAAACATATAGCATTTTTAACCTTTTTAAGTTTGCCAATGATGATTTTATTTTAGCACGTCTTCCCACGAACGCACAGTAGTATGTAACGCTGTTGTTTATGAAATATATGCATGGACTTGCGTCAGGAACACAGATGAATGGAAATCACGAAGGGAGACCGAAATCCATAAGTGAGATATTCCTTCGGGACGTTACTCGAAAAAGACATATTGCATATGGTTGGTTCCCCTCTCAGTTCTAGGGTGTATTTTTGATGAACGGATCAAGGCATTATTGATGTCAGCGCCAGGCATGAAAAAGAGATTGGCCCCAGTCTTAAGGTCATGGCAGAACACCAATCATCTGTCGAGATGATTCAGACGACCTAAATCCGAAGTGGCTGATTAACTGGTGTGTGTGTCACCGGTGTTTGACAAAGTAAATGGTGTTGTCATTGGTAAACAAGACCTCAGAGAAGCCAAGCAAAGATGGCGGCATAAGATATGTTGCTACTACCTGACAGATATTCTCATGCGATACCAGCAGTGAAGAGCTTTGGCTTTTTTGGAAGACACGAAACATGTGGCCAATTAAAGCTTTACCGTCTTTGCTGTACTCATAGAACCGGTAGTTATTGATGGTTTTGAACTGGATCTATTACCACTTTTTGCAGCCTCCGTTGCTCTACACAACTTGTCACTGGAAGGGGGTAGATTAATGTTAGTACAAATACTTGTCGCATTTGTTTTGCATGGTATCGTCTGGTTGCATTTCATTTTTCCGAGTTCCCTCATATCTTCGTGTTGGAAGTGTAGGTGATAATTGGTGAATGACATTACCTCCGGGTTGCGTTAGGCTGAGTGGCAATTTTCTCCTTGACGACCTTGGATGTAGATTCACTATGGGGTGGTGTTTCATGTTTCGAAATCGGACACGTCTAAGTGAAGTTGCAACTTGTTGTCAATCGCAGCCAGAGGGACTTCATTCAGTAAAGAAAGCCCTTAAAATTTCATTCAAAGTGAAAATACAAGACTGGTCTCAACGATGTATTAACAAATGTGTCCGTACACGCTACTGTGTGTGGGTGTGTGATGAGTAGTTATAGCGACATCAGACAGTGTCCGTCCGTTCTGCGACATGCCGTAGCAGGAATACGAGTTGCATGCTGTCGGCGTGACTTGTGAGTCACAACGACTCATGCCTGCTATCGCTGTAAATATACCACTGACTGAACATTTACCTCGTCATTCCAAAATTGCGGTGTGAATTAGTGTATGGAAATCAACTAAAAATTTCCTGGGCATCTGAAATGTTATCGCTTCCGACAGAACACAACACTAGATTGACCCAGGAAATAGTTTCACATCACTGACATTGTTCCGCTATTTCATTATCAAGCACAACTTGTGTCTACGTGCATGGGCGAAAGAGCCTTTGCATCATATAAAGGCATGCCTGAGTGTAGTCGGAAATTCGTGCATAATTGGTTAAAGCATCGAAATAAAACGGAGTAGAATACCAGCCAGTGTGGCCATGCAGTACATCTCAATGCCCTTCCATAGCCCAAAGCAATTTTTGAGAGTTAGGAGTAGTAAATGACGGGACAAAGATTTGAAACCGGTTGATTTTACGACAAGCTTTTACAATGAGACAGTACTACACATCAGACCTCTCAAAAACTATGCATCTTGTCACGTATGCCACCCATTGGGCTGTCCACGTGGAAGTCCCTTTCAGTTTTAACTCTTGTGGACTTACCCGATTAAAGACCTTCGGAAGAATTCTGTTGCACCTCTTCCTCCGTCACCGACTTTACCACTCCATTCTGTTCTTGGCTGACATTTCGTGTTCTCGCTGGGATTCCATGTCTCAGTGCCAACTCCTAACTCGTGTTTTCCTAGTTCAGCGCCTATCCCTCTCTTTACAACCTAATGCAATGAGGACTTTTCTGGCGGCTAAAGCGTTTTTCCTTAAAAACGGCCGCAATTAGAGTTCAACGTAATTGTGGTGGTTGACTTTAGCAATGGTCACATTTATAACTAAACTGATTGAACAGATCAGCCATTTTCATTCCTTACACTTTAATACTAGCGCTTTTTAGATACAGCTTTGTGGATTATGGGGATGTACGTGTCGGTCGACTGTGAGTGTTGGGTTGAATCAGAAGTCCGTTTTTTTTAATTATTTACAAAAAAATTTCAACAAGAGCTGTTATTTCAATTAATCATCCATTCATCAATCTATGGTCTTCCGGTCGCAATTCAGTTGCTTAAACCAACTCCTGCGTGGTTCAACGCTGATGTTTTTTCGAAGGAGCATTTAAGCGGTCCTCATCAAAGTTGGACAACCGGAGTGGATGCATTACTAAGACCGGAATTGCCGCTTTTAAAATTTGTTGAATCGTTCTTGTCCTGTTCACTCGCTTAAGACGTCCCCATCGCAGACCGCGTAAGTCCCCCTATGGGCATCCGTGATCTCAACATTACAATTTAATCGAAGAAGCAAGTGCTTTTGGAGAAGCAGACTTTTACCAGGGATTATGTAATCGTTTAGATTTAGCCCCATACTGAACATAGAATTTGGATTCTATATGTTTAAGCCAAAATATCGGATTGTGCATTTCAAGGCGAAGGCCTGCATTATTGCAACACGCGCCTACCAACTTCTGTCGTTATTCAAAAACAGCAGACCTCCTAACTGTTCTTGACCAACCAGGCCGAACGCACGACGGCATCTGCAGCCCCAAAAGTAGCGCCTTTCTCGAAATATACGCCAAAAACCTCTCGAACATTTGTACTTCCCGGTGATATGGCACTAGTGATAACACTCA